TGAAGAATTCTCTCCCTCCCTAGTGGCTCCTTTCTCCTATCTAGCAGTTTAGGGCCTGATGCTTCAGTCAAGCTCCAGGACACTCCATTTCAAAACTGAGAATCATGTAAATTCTAAATGTAGCTTTTAGCCCAGCATGGTGGCGCACGCCTGTAATCCCAGCACTCAGGAGGCTGAGGCAGGAGAATCGTTGTGAGTTTGAGACCAGCCTGGGCTACAAAGTGAGCTCAAGGCCAGCCTGACTCAAAACAACAAAATAATAAAAAAATAAAATAAATAAATGCAGTTTTTGAAATGATACCCCAGACCTGATTCATACTGGGTCTGGTATGTGATCAGTGATTGTAGTGTGTCAACTTTAAGGGATTAAGAAACACCTAGTAGATTAGTAAAGCACACTTCTGGGGGCATCTGTGGGTGTTTCCACAGACAATTGGCATGTGGGCCGGCATACACCAGGGGCACCATCTCACTCGGAGGGGCACCAACCAGTAGGTTTGTAGTGTGGAAGGAATAAAAAGGAAAGGAAGGTGTTGGTGTGCGTTTGAAGAGCCCCACCCTGCTTGATGGGACTCATTTCTGCTGCCATCAGGAGTGCACATCAGGCCGCAGCATCTCCAACCTTCCAGGACAAACTAGTCCCACTGACTCTCTGGGAGCTCCGGGCCTTTGGCCAGGCTGGCGCTGCATTCTGGACACCCCTCATTTCATACCTTCCAGGCTTCTGGACGGGGCAACGACTGAGTTTTCTGGCTCACCAGTTCCCAGCAAGCCACTGTGGACTTTATCATATCTTGCTCTGCATTTGAACATTCCGTAGAGACCTATATCAATACGAAAGATCTCTGCATCATAAATGCATGTACAAACTCACATTAGCATACATACCTTAGAATTCAGCGATAAGAAATCATTTCTTAGCCAAATGTGTTGTTGCACACCTTTAAAGCCAGCACATGGGAGGCTGAGGCAGGAGGATCGCTGCAAATTCAATGCCAGCCTGGGCTACATAGTGAGTTCGAGGCCAGCCTGAATTACATAGCAAGACCCTGTCTCAAAAAAAAAAAAAAAAAAAAAAAAAAGAAATCACTTCTTATTAAGAGTAGGAGATTGGCAAAGTTTGAGTATGAAATGTAAGGCAACCTTCCAGATGTTACACTGTTCTAAAGTAAAACCATGACAGGAGGAGAGGTTTATTCTGGCTTACAGTTTGCAGAGGTTTCAGCCTACAGGTGGCTGGCTCCAAGGCAGGGTAGCACAGCAGAAGGGCATAGCGGAGGAAAAACAGTCCGTAGGATGACAGGCAGGAAGCAAAAGGGATCAAGGGAGGAGGAGGGAGCTCCGTATACACACCTGTCCAGGTGGGGGGTCACCCTTCCCACCAGGCTTCACGTCCCAACATCACACCCAACTACAAGCCGTCAGAGGAATAATCCACTACCGCTACCACTACCGCGTGCCCATGATCAGGCTCCCAGAAGCCCCACTCAGATGAAACACACGGAACAAAAGTGGCCCAGGGATATAGCTCAGCAGCATGAGAGCTTGCCTGGCAAACCTGAGGTCATGAGTTCAATTCCCGGCACCAAAAAGAAAAAAGAACAAAAGTGTTTGTACTGAATATGAGCACATTGTTTTCTTGTCATTCCTTAAGACACCAAAGCAACAGCACACCTGGCATTCCCACTTTCGCCGGCATGGTAAGTCAGACAGGGACAATTTAAGGTCTCCAGGTGGCTGTGCTCGGGTTCCGTGCAAACACTGACCCATTCTGCAGGTGGGACTTATCACTCATGGATTTGGTATCTGAGCTGGTCTTGGAGCCAATCTTCAGGAGGCGACTGTATTTCGAAACTAGATATTTGCGAGGCTGTGAGCACGAGGTAAGAGATAAGGGCTGGGACAAGCTGCACCACCAACCGAGTGAAATACACGAAAGGCCAGAAAACCCCACGCCAACAAGTTCAGGAGGATATTCCCTGAAAGGAGACGACGTTTGCACAACATTGGACCCTAAATACTCCTGGCGTACAGAACCTGGCGAATCAGAAAGCCAAATTCTCAATGCTTATTTGCATCTGGTGATGCAAATAAGGACCAATCACGAGATGCTATTCCCAATCCTTCATTTGCATATACGCACGACCAATCAAAAGACAGTTTGTGATCCTTCATTTACGTCTGGGGGAATTGCTTCTGCTGCGAAGAAGATAAGAAAGTGCAGCAGTCCTGAGGGCCCAGGGCCTGTTAGCCACATAAGAGCCACCACCTGACCCGTGGGCATGGTTGCTTGGAAACAGGAGGGGAGCTGAGGTGCTTGAACGCGGGAAGCAGGGACCTGCGTCCAGCCCCTGAAGCTCCAGATCTCGACTGTGTCCCACACTCCTCGCTAGGGGGCGCTGCGGGACAGGAAACCTCCAGGGTCCGGCACCTAAGGACAGGAGCTCCTCGAAGCCTAAGGGAAAGCGAGGCGTGGCAGCGCACCCCTGTCACCCCAGCACTGGGGAGGCTGAGGCAGGAGGATCGTGGAGAGTTCGAGGCCAGCCTGGGCTACAAAGTGAGCTCAAGGCCGGCCTCAACTGCGTAGAGAGACCCTGTCTCAAGAAGAGATTTAAAATTTAAAAAAAGAAAAAAGAAAAAAAAAAAAAAAAGCCTAAGGGACTCCCTGGTCGAGACTCATCAAGAAGACTGAATACCAAGCTTCCAGCCTCCAGCCGGCCTAAGAACTTCAGTCACAAGCGCCTGCGCTTGGGTCCTGTGTAATCAGTGAAGAAAGACACCGAGAAGCAATGAACGAATGAAAATGAATGAGTGGGCACTGACCGGGACCTTCCAGACTCCTCCCCGAGTCCTGCACAAGCTCAGCCGGCGGAGGACGGGAGAGAGAGGCCGTGACACAGCTGCGGGAGGTCGGAGCTGGAGTCTGGGCCAGCGGGAGTAGGGCTGGCAGCCTGCCCTTCCCGGCGCGCGGACAGAGGGCCCGGGCACGGCGGGCAAGGCCAGCGCAGAGCGGCAGAGGCATCGCCCCATCGGTGAGAGGCGGGGGTCTTTGGAAGTGTGAAAACGCGGAGAAAAGGAGCGACTTATCTACAGCCTTTTTCTAGATCGCCTAGCACCCTGTAGATTTTCCAGGAACACCAGAATCCTGTTTAAAGATACAGTAGATGATTACAGTTACGCTTTTCTTAATTTATTAAGACAGGGTCTCGTCATGTGGCTCTCGGGCTGGCCTTGAACTCACTGTGTAGCCCAGGCTGGCCTCCACCTCCTGGTGATCCTTCTGCCTCAGCCTCCCGAGTGCCGGCCACCGTGCCCAGGCAGCAGCCGCAGCTTTGACCGGACCTTTTTCCTCCGGCTGACAGAAGCCTTTAGCTTCGGCTGAAGAGGTGATCGGATCTACATTCATCTTTTAGAGAAGATGGGTCAGGACCCTGGGAGGAGGGGGTGGGCCCGGCGTCTGCTGTTCTATGGCCACTCGCCCAGAGCAGGCTGTCTTTCGCCAGTTTTGCGGCAAAAGGCTTTAGCAGTGCTAGGGATTGAACTCAGAGCCTTTGCATTAAAGAACAGCCCCAGCCTGTGTGTGTGTGTGTGTGTGTGTGTGTGTGTGTGTGTGTGTGTGTGTGAGAGAGAGAGAGAGAGAGAGAGAGAGAGAGAGAGAGAGAGACATGGAGGGAGAGAGAGAGGGAGAGGGAGAGGGAGAGGGAGAAGGTCTTGCTAAATCAGTAAACTGCCCAAGCTGGGCTCCATCTTGTGATCCTCCTGCTTCAGCCTTCCAGTGTGCTGGGATGACAGGCACGCACCAGCACACGTGCTCTGCGGTCAAGGGCTTTTAACTCTCATTGCCAAAGAAGAGCACCCAGACACGAGCAGTGTTCCGCGGAGGGTGAAACAGGTCTTCAAAGGTCAGGACGGTTTTCTTTTCGAGCGAATCTGTTTCTCAGCGCCCCCTCGTGCTGAGAGTGTAAACTGCTGCCTGCCTGGGCCTGAGGACCCCAGGATCCACCTCCCAGCCTGCCGGAGCAAAGCTTGACTTCAAGGAGTTGGAGATATGTCCTGCTTTGTTCAACCCCTTCTTGAAGTCAGAGTTTTCTGTGGTTCTAAGTGGGGAAGAGCGGCTGGCCCAGACTCAGGCCTGACCGCACCCTGGTCAGCAGCAGCAGCAGCAGGAGCTGATTCTGCCTCCTGGGCCTGCCCAGTGCCTGTCCTGATCTGCTTTGTATGCTTCCAGAGATGAGGCGCTCACTCCAAGGGAGACGATTCGATGGGCTAATGGAGCGGACCGCCCTGCACACAGTACCTGCAGAATAAATCCGTTCCTGCCCAGCCCGCAGTGCTCCGGGTATGTCCCAAACACTCATGTACATGACTACCCTCAAAGTTCTGCATGGCTGTAACGTCTGCCTCCCTTGCTCCTGCCCCACACCCACATCTGGCAAGCTCCTACATGTCCCCAGAAGCCCCGACTACAAGATCCATTTCTTTTTGTTCTGTGCAAGCCCTCACCTAGACAGCTGGGAGCGCCCTGGCACCCGGTTCTGACGGGGCCCATTTGATGTGACAAGTTCCCACAGAGGGCAGAAACCCTGAGGCAGGGGCCACGGGCAGAGCCTGGTGAATAATGAACGCCAGAGGTGGGTGGGGTGGTGCATGTCTGTCATCCCAGCAGTCTGGAGGCTGAGGCAGGAGGGTCAGAAGTTCAAGCCCAGCCTAGGCAACTTAGCAAGACTTTGTCTCAAAAGAAAACAATTTAAAAGGCCCAGGGGTGTAGCTCAGCGTGAAGGCCCTGGGTTACATCCTCAGTAAAAGGAGTTATTTTAAAAAGAGAGAGAATGGGGCGTCCCAAAACACAGCCAGGAGCTCCTAGCTACTTCAACACCCCCAGCCAGCTCTCCAAGACCTGCCCGGCCTAGGAGGGGACGGGACTTCCAGGCAGGGTCCCCCCTTCCTTTCCGGCGCGGCCCCTTTAAGGGGCTGGGGCCCGCAGGCTTGCGGTGTTGCAGGCACGGACCGGAAGCGATGCAGGAAGGACCCGGCGGGGATGGCGGCACCAGGACCGCTCCTGCAGCACCACCGCGGGAGCCCTCGGCAGCGGCGAGCCCGGTGAGCGCGCGCCCTGGCCCAGGCCTCCTCCGAAGCCGGCCCAGGCGCCCGGGGAGCAGCAACGAGGCTGGGGTGGGGAGCCAAGAAGGGGAGTCACAGGGACACCGGCCGGGCCACTGTGGGAGCCTACCAGGCGGGTTGTCCCCTCCCTCGCGGGCCCTTGCTGCTGTGACCGTGGGGATTAAAACTGAGGCAAGAATTTACAGCCTGGCATCCCAGCACTGTCCGGGAGGCTGAGGCAGGAGGATCGCTCAAACTGAAGGCCAGCCTGGGCTACATACAGAGCGAGACCCTGTCTCAAGGAAAAGAGAAAACCTTTGCAGGACAGAAGCTTGTCCGGGGGAGTAAAGGGAACTAGAAAGGGACTTTAGTTTGAGGAGGTCATGGGGGGGGGCAGTCAAGCTGGCCCTGAGCAGAGGACAGTGAGAGGCCAAGCAGAGGACCCCAGCTTGGGTGGCCAGTGGGCAACTCTGACACCAGGGTCCCTGCACAGGGAAAAGCCTGATTCCAGGGGTGCTCAGGCCTGGAACCCTCCCGGCTCGGGACAGTTTCATCTCCCGAGATGACTGTCCCCGGGCAGGGCCCGCAGGTGACAGGCTCAGGACCAGGCAAGCTGGCCACCAGCTGCCCCTGCAAACCCTGAACGGTAGTGCAAGGCGGCGTCGGAGCGTCCGCGGCGATCAGCGAGGTGAGGTCGGTTCGTTCCTGTGGTGTCCAGCCTCTCAGCAGCGCAGGGCACAAAACCACACCGGCCTCGCGCCACGGCCTGTGACCACCTGGGCATCTCTCGGCCCCAGTGAACATTCAGCTTTCTGCGAAAATCACTTGCAAGGAGCTGGTCGCCTCCCAAACCGTCGCTCCCCGGTCTCACCCCACCTTTAGGGACTAACAGTTTCAGGGCCCAGGACTTTGGCCTCTGTCCCTCTGGCAGCCCGTGCCCTGCAGTGGTCCCTGCTCCCCATCACCCGGGAAGGTGCTGGTCCCTGGTCACCTGCTGTGTGCCAGGCCTGGGCATGGGGCGGCCGGGGTGACAGGCAGGCGTGGCCTCGCTCCCAGGCTGCCGTGAGGTGCAGGAGAGGGCAGGGAGGCCCGCATCTGCCAGCTGCCTGGTCCTGGGTACCCTGGGGGCTGGGGAGCAGGCGGAACTGGCATGGGGAAGGTGGGGACAGGGCCCTGGGCAGGTCCCGGAGGACGCAGTGTGACCCCTTGCAGAAGGGGCCAGGTCTGGGGCCAGCTGTGACCCGGCACGGAGGCCACACAAGGCGGAGGCCCAGCGGAGGTGGGGTCAGGAGGCCCCCCCAGCAGGGAAGTAGGGAGGCTGGGTGGCCCCACTCCCGCAGGAGGGGAAAGAAGTGTCCATCCACTGCTTACTGACCCAGCGGGTCCCGATGGCTTCCTGACGCTCTGTCTGCTCTCTGTGACCTTGGCATGACCTCGGGGAGCACTTCCCCTCTCTAGACCTCAGTTTCCCCCCCGACTGGGGAAATATTTGGGTGACAAGGGCTGAAGAGCGGTAGAAGGGCTTTGGTACTCCAGACTCGGGGCCCGTGCTGGGGTTTAAACCCAAAGTCTGGGTTCTGGGAACTGACCTGGAGTAGCTCTGGTCCCGCCCACCCCTTTGCCACGCCCACTGCTCGGCCCGCCCTTGCCCCGCCCATTGCAGGCCCTGGCCCTGGCCCTGCCCCGCTAGGCTCCCACCTCTCTAGCTGGCCCTCCCTAGGCGGGGGCTCTTGGTCTCCAAGGAGGTGACCCACCCCCAAGGCTCCAGTAGCTAATCAGGGCATGGGTGGGGCACAGGTGCTGTCAGCTCCGGGGTGCCCCTGCCAGATTGAGAGTTGTTTGGGTCCTGGCCTTATCCTGACCTGTAGCTGTGCCCGTACCCTGCTCAGGCCCCCAAGCGTTCTGCAATCCCTGCCTCTGGCTGAGGCGGGAGGATTGCAAGTTCAAACCCTGCCTAAGCAGCTTAGTGACTTAGTGAGACCCCGTCTCAGCACGAAAACCTGCCCTGCCTCCCCGAACCCTGGTGAGGGCTCCTGGGTGGAGCGCCTCGAGCATGCTGAGCAACCGGGCACGGCCCACACACTCGGGCAGGTCCAGGTCCAGCTCGAGTGGGGCCGTGTCAGGCGCAGGACACACAGGTCCACTGCAAAGGCCCCCGGGGATGGAGGAGTTAGGTGTGCTCTGGAGGAGCCGGGCCTGGAGTGAGGGGCACTCAGGGCCCCAGCACGCAACCCCGGTCAGAGAGAGGCCTGGGGTGCTGCGGGCAGCAGGGACCCGAGGGACCTGCTGGTCACTACTCCAGGCATCAAAGCAGCAAACAAGATCAGAGACAAGGCTGCCGGGGCCTTGAATGCCGGGAGAGCGGGAGCTGGCGGGGCTGGGCCCAGTCAGTGGGGAGCACGTGGTCACCCGGGTCTGTCTGTCCCTCCGCAGGTGCCCTGACCTCCACCTTGGACTGGCGGCGAGGCAGGAGGAGTCCGAAATCCACGGAACCAGGCCCTGGCAGCGGGCTCTGGGCTGGGGCCCAGCGCTGCCGGAGGATGACGCCCTCCGCGCTGCAGGTTGGTGCCCTGCCCCCCACCACCCCAGAACCACCTCTGCTGGGAGTGGCCTGCACCCCAATAAACCGTTCCCAGTGCTCCGCTGTGCTCTGTTCTTTCCACCCGCGGGAGGCCTGGCCAGGACTGGGGCTCCCGTGCACCCCCAGGCGCCCGAGCTCAGAGTCCGACTGGCTGCGGGGTGGCAGTGGGGAGCGCCGGCGGCGTAGTGGGGCAGGCCCTGGGTTCCGTGCCCTGCACCCCGAGACAGAACGATCGAGGATCGGAGCAGACTGGAGGGACGGGCCAGCAGGGCCCCAGGCTGGCCGGCTGGGAGCGAGGCGGGGCTCCTCCCCCGGGCCTCAGGGCGCAGCGAGGCCTGGGGTTCAGCCGGAATCCCTGCTGGGTTCAAACCCTTGGCCACCGCGCCCGGGCACCGGGGCCCAGCTTCGGCCTCACAGTCGGGGTGCAGTTTCGGGTCCCCGAGCCTTGGGGACCTCGCAGAGCGCTGGTGACAGCGACCCGAGCAGCCCGGCGCGGCAGGGCCGGGAGGACCGAAGGACGGGCGACACCCCCGCCCGGGCCGTGCGGGCACTACCCGGCCTCTGGCCCTGGGGTCGTCTGACCGCCGCCGAGAGCCACTCCTCCGGCGACAGGGCTGGGTTCTGCTCCCGGGCCGCAGCGTCCCTCCGAGGCGGCAGCAGCGGGAGGGCGGGGCCTGGGCACCAGGAGGCGCGGACGGTACCCGTGCGGGCGGGCAGGGCCCTGGCGGGGCCGGGGCTGCAGCGCTTCTGCCCGCGAGCTTGCTCTTCGCTCGGGCGGAAAATCTCTGCCCCGCTCTCTCCCGTCCTCCGCCCCCTCCTCCTTCTCCGCCTCCTCTTCTCCTTTCTTCTCTCTCTCCCCACTGAGGTGGAACCCAGGGCACCCCAGCCTCCCCTTCGTTTGGTCACCTGTCTGAGCTCTGTCACCGCTCCTTCCTGACCCCACCTCTTTTTGGGGCACTGGGGACCGAACCCAGCGCCTTCCCACTGCGCTGCATTGCCAGCCCTTTTTTCGGTTGTTTTTATTTTGTGACGGGGCCTCCCTAGATGGCCCAGGCTGGGCTCGAACTTGTGATCCTCCTGCCTCAGCCTCCTTCCTTATAATACTCCCTGTCCGCAGCACATCACTTGTGTGTCCTTCCCTCCCCAGTGACAGGGACAGAGTCTGACACCGCCACACACTGTCGATGCTCAGACTTGAGCTGTGTCCCATTCTGGCAGTGCTGCTGGGTGACGTTGGGACTGTTACTTAACCTCTCCGGACTGTGCAGTTCCTTCAGCCTCAGGAATAAGAAAGCACGGTGGCGCACACCTGTGATCCCAGACTCAAAAGGCTGAGGCAGGAGGATCATTGAAGCCCAGCCTGGGCAATTGAGCAACTTAGCAAGAGTTAAGTCTCAAAAAATAAAAACTAAAAAAGGGTTGGAGGCCCGACCTCGTCGTTCCCCGGACGGAGGACTTCCGGCGCACAGGGAGCCTCGCGCA